TAGGGCTGAGAGAAAGTGACTGGCCCAAGTTCACCCAGCTGGCTTTGTGCCTAGGCAGGACCAGTTTCTAGCCTGCTGTCTTAACCACTACATCAAACTGGCTCTTGTATATTCATACTAATGAATACAAAGAATACTTTTGGGGATCTGCTGTCTGCTATGACCTATATATATATTTGTTGCTTCTTAGTAAGGCTAGTAGACACTTGTTAGTATCACCCAAGTTTGCTTGGATCTAGGCCTTACTGTCATCCAGCAAATTTTGAAAGAATAAGATTTTCCTGTTTCCATCTTTCTTCCTAAATGAGATCCACTTAACTAGCAGAAACAATAATTTAATTCTCAGTATAACAATATCCAAGGTCAGCATTCCTTCCTTCCATCTATTTTAAGCCATCTGTCTACCAACTTCAGTCATACATACTATCCAATATGTTTATTTATTTGTCAAATTTATATAGCCACCCATCTCACAAACAAGTGACTCTGGGTAGCGAACAACAAGGATAAAAAACAGTTAAATTAATAAAAAGTAAAACAATAGTCATTACATTATAAAAATATTAAAAACTATAAAAGATAAAGCTAAAAAAGAAGAAATATTAGGCAAGGAGATGTTAATAATAGGGAAGCCACTTCAATAATTCCCCAGTCCCCTAGGGTCCCCTGGTGTGATGGCACAACCAGGTTTTGAGGGATCTTCAGAAGATCAAAAGTGAAGAAGGAAACCTTATTCCATAAAGCAGGCACCACAGCAGAAAAGGCCTGCTGCCTAGGACCCACCAAATGTAGCTCTCTAGCTCACGGGATCTGCAGCATGTCCTCTCTGCTGGATCTGGTGGGACAGGATGATATTCCCCAAGCTTGAGGAATTTTTGAAAGCAATCCAAAAGTAGCATAATATTTGGTTTCCAGGACAAAGCCTTTATGAATGATAACCACAAATAGATATCTTTAGTTGGAATATTACTATGCATCATGCATTAATGTTTAAAGAATTATAGTAATGTAGAACAACTTCCTATAAATTAGCACTTTTAGATGTATTGAGTAGAAGACCCAGAGTTCCAGACACATTGGACTTCATAGCTAGAATTCTGAGGACTGCAAGCCTAATACACCAGAAGATAGTAGTTGGAGAAGGCTGCCATAGAAGAAAATACTACATGAAGAAAACTGCTAAAAATAAATGGCGTACGTGATAATGTTCTTCCCCAGTTCTTTTTCTTCTAAAAGTTATCCAACTTACCGGTATGCATTGAAAAGATTCCGTTTCTCATTTATTCCTTTACAATTCCCATGGCTGGCACATTTGAGAAAGAAGGTTTTTGTGGGGAATTTGAGAATGCAGTCCTGATCTTTTTTGCAAGACAGTTCCTCAGTGCTCACATCATCCAGGTCTGTAACTTTCAGGATTCCATTCACCATGACAAATTGCCTTGGTTGGAAATCTAGAAGGGCAATGGAACCCAGAGGAGAATTTGCCAAGTAATATAGCAGTTCTACCAGATTCAGGCAAATCTGAAAGAGAGGTGGTAAACAGATTAAAACACATAAGAAGTTTTCTTACATTTTAACATCAGCAGCCTACCTTTCTTTCTTCCCACTCTTCTGCAGCTCAGTGCACAATTCATCGGAATATACCTATGGCAAAAATTTAAGGCCTCAGTGTATTTGTTGATCTAATATAAAAAGTTATGGGATCACAGCCAATCTTTCCATATTGTTTAACTGCACCTTAAATATGCATTCTGAAGTGGACTACTAGTGGTGTGCTGTAGATAAGTTGCCTTTGAAATAGTCCAGAAATTTCAGCTGGTTATAGAATATGCTCCTGCCTGTATGTTGACAGATATATTGACACTGATGTGTTACAAAACTTCTAATAGCTTCCAGACCCAAAGACTTGACTGTCTTTGGAAGTGACTTTGTCCACAGGATTTGCAAAGAGGTTTAATAGCACTCAGATTCTGTTGCCATATTTTCAAGAGCAAAGATGGTCCTTGGGCCCTTTTTCCTATCATGGAGTGACTCCAGCTAGGGGCTAGTACTACTAATAAAACTCTCCTTTGCTTTTGTTTCCTTACTTTAAATCTCTCTTCCCAGGGGATTTGTAGAAGCTGAATCATCTCCAGAGGGGCTCCCAGCTCCAGCATAGAAACCACTTTCATTTCAGGATACAGGCTATTATTATAGCATTGACCATGCAGCTGTCAGGAGAAAATGCAGGATGCTGTATTAATACAGATGCAAAATATAGAAATTATTTTTCTAAAAGAACAGATAAATACATTTTACTAATGGTGGGAAAGGTCAGATGAAGATTTATTTAAAAACTCAACTGCTCTTGCTACAGTAAGTGTATGCCTTATATAGTTGATGCTAAGCATGCTGGTACTAGATATAGATCATGAAGTTAATTAGTCTGCATTTTGAAGTTGAGGGTTTATACCTCCCAGATAACTCTTTATTCCTATTTATGTTTATTTACCACTAAATCAGCCAAGAGTAATTTTCTTCCAAAAAGGTGTAGCAAACTGTTTTTTGTGGGTTTCTTCCACCAGTTACAGCTCTGTTGGGTGATTAACAGTAATTGAACCAAAAAAAGATTTCAGATTAGATGTTATCTAACTGCACTTTACATTTGTGATCAAATATTTCCTATTTTATTCAACACTGCAAACTCACCTAGCATATTTTGCATGATACTCCTCACCCGTATCATTTTCCCCTAAATATTGTGGCTTTCTTGTAGAGGGTGAGAGGAAAGCATAGCAGAGAACACATCTTGAGACTATAAGGGCTGCATGCATCAGAGCCCTAGGAGCCAACCTGAAATGCCCAAGAAAAGCTTACAAACAAGGCAAAAAAGCAATGAGACTTCTCTGATTGTTGTTCCCCAACCAATGGTATTCCAAAAGTGGGAACCCTGTGGCGCTCCAGGTATTAAAAGATAGTATTTTTCACTATCATGCATTTTTTTGGCAACAGTATGACAGTAGTTTGTCCTTGCCTTTTTCTGATATGTTCTACTCAACTTTCCAGCCTAGCTAACAGTCCTGGAATTTCCAAATGGCTACCAATCCAAGAACTAAATAGGGCCAACTGTGCTCAGTTTCCAAGATCTGCCAAGCTCAGTTAGGCATTCCCATTTGCTGAGGATCTCCAGATGTCACAAGACTAAAATTGCCAGCAGCATCAGCCAGCATGTTCAGTGGGAAGGATGCAGGACACCTATAGGTCATCAACATCTCAAGATACAGATTCATCATCACTGTGATACTCAGAGGCTATGTAGTTGTTTATGAAACACAATCACCAAAAGCCTAATTTTCCATGAATTTGACTAATCCTCTTTAAACCATCAAACCATCAAAACCATCAAAATATCAAGTGGTCTTCATATTTTGTGGTAGCAAATATCTGGAGGTTACAGGCTGCATGATGAAGTATGCAAGTAACATAGCAGCAGTCCTGCATTTTACTCCAAGTCTGCATTATCACCTCCAACAAATCCAGCTAGGATCATGAAGTCTTTTCAGTTGATCAGTCATTAAGTGACTGATTATATGTGTCTCTGTGTGTATTGTATATAAACCTAGAATAGGTCCCCTTTAAACTAACTGAAGGAATTTCAGAAGAGTAGGCATGTTTATTGCAATGCACACAAAATAATTTGTAAAGTAAAATATATTTGGCTGTAACATTTTCGCCTAAAATCTATGGATTGGTCTGTTAATTTGAGGTTGGACTCAAAACAAGAACATTTTTAAAGTGGCGACAGCTTAAAATCCAGGCCATGTGACAAAAAACAGTGGACTCATTAATTTTATTTAAACAGTTATATGCTGCTCTCTGCCATATGTGAATAGTCAGCTTATAGATACTGATATCCATTCCAAGTAAACTGTCATGAGCTACACCTTTGAAACTACTAATCAGGGAGATGGAATTGTGTAGAGTTATTACCTTACATTGTGTATAGATCAACAATCTTGGATTAAGCACGTTCAACCATCACGTGGTTGAAAGTGGGGAGAAACGTAATCTGTAAGATATCTCAAAAAATATACAGTATTTACAACTATCCAAAACATTCAGCTAAGCTCCTAGGGTCTCCTGCCCAACTTCCCAAGCGCGCGGGCGGTACTACGTGCCTTGATGATGCCTTGATGATCCAGACTCTGCAACAGAATCGTCTCCTTCAACAGTTTGTAAGCAGCGAGCTGGAAACAACCTTCCGCGTGGCCGTAGCGTTGAACACAGCGATTCATGTCGCTGCCTGTCCAGTGCACAGATTTCAGGGCGATTTCCTCGCCACCGGGCGACAGCGCAGCCCTCAGCACCAGCTTCGTAATGCCAGCGCCCACCACACCCACATCGCTCAGGCCGTTCAGTTCCGCGCAACCCAAAGGCTCCGCGGCCGCGGCGCGCCTTGCGGGAGACGGAGAAGTGCGCGCTTGGATAGAGGCTGCCAGGCGGCTCAGGTCTTGCTGCCGCTGCTCCAGTTCCCACATCAGTTTCGGAGGCAGCTGGGCATCTAAGAGCCTCCAAGGGCCCGAGATAACAAGGGCCAAGGCAAGCAGGGCAGGCATGATCAACAGTGCAAGGAGTGCCTCAGGACCCGGCATGGCGAAGAAGGAACGCGGGAGCGCACTGGCGAGCAGCTCGCCCCAGCACAAGGCTAAGTTTGGTGAAACGAGAAAGGTAAGGCTTCAGACAGGGAGGCGGGACTCCAGCAAGGAACTGCCCACCACTCAGACTGGCCTCGCAAACGGTCGAGTAGGAAGCAAGGCTCTGGAAAGTAAAAGGTCCCCGCCCCCAACTTATGCACATTCATGATTCGGAGGACTCTCCCTCTTCTCTGGGGGAAAAAAAACCCTTTTTCTCCTCCTGTGGCAAGGTGTAATGGAGCGACGACTGTTCAAGTGCGGATTTGGCTCGGCTAGGAGGTTCAGATGAACTGATTAAATGCAAGTATCACTTGAAGATGACCCGTGACATCCAGTGATGAACGATGGCTCACCACAGATCTGGTCAAACCCCCCAAATTCTTTTCCAGCCGCAGACAGCAGTGTTTTTTGATGGAGCAGTTCACGTATTCAAATGCTGGTTTTGAAAAACTTGGGTTATAAGTATCAAACAAGGGCATTTGGGAGAGAGAAAGAGTGCTCTCCCCCATTTTTCATTTTACAGTTGTTGCTGGGGAATAAGAGTACAGGAAAACCTTAATCCAGGGAAAGGAAAAAACACACACACACACACACACGTCCAAAGTGTTTCAGAAATGCTACTTACTTTGAAATGTGTGCCACAAACTTTCAAGGTTATTGGAGTTTGGAATGATTGTCTGGAGCTCCTGCTGCTTTTAAACGTATAGATCTGCTGAAGGGAGTGTGTATAAACCCAACCTTGTGCAAATTGCAATTTATATTTCTCAGCCTAGCCTACCTAGGGGTGTTGGGAGAACAATCTATGGCTCTAGGTTCTTTGGATGAAGGACAGCATGCAAATAAAACAACTAATAAAGTACAGTGCAAGTGCAGAACATGAAGAAACTTGCAATTTGTCCTATCACATATCTGTGGTGAAGGTTTCCAGGCATTCTGAATGCCCACAATTTTTGTTCGTTGGAAAAGACTTGTACCCCATTGTTCTGATACTTTGGTATCCTTCAGGACACTTAAAAAAACAATGGAAACAACTTCCATTACATTGCCATTTTTTTAATGCTTGGATTTTGGAGTTATTTAAACAAAATAACATTTTAGGGCATTTTTTGAGGTATTTTTAGAGCATCATTGGGTGCAACTGCATTCCTGCTCTTGAGACAATACAGGATTAGAAACAACAGTTTTTGGACTGTGTTTGACCCCATAGTGAAATGCATTCTTAAACTGGTTTTCTTTAAGAGAATATGTTTTAGTTAAAGCCTTTAGGATTTGTTTTACAGTACTGTCATGTTGTTTTTCCAAAATAATTTCAGCCATTTTATTGTTATATTATTTTGGGGGAATATTATAAAATCTAGTTTGTATGAAAATCCTTTAGTTTTATTAATAATGTTATGCTTATTTTTATTTATATATACATATATCTACCTGCTGATTAATTTCAAATTGTTCTGCTCATAATGCTTTAAAAAGGAGGGGAAGCATTCTTACTAACATTTTGTCAGGATCAGTTACAATCCTAATGAAAATTAGTTCTGTGAAGCTCTTTTTCCTACAATGAATTTCAAGCCTTTGCAACTAAGAACTTTTTATTTCAAAGAAAAGAGTTTAAGATTCTCCGATTATTTTCAGATACAATTTTCTGAATATATGAAGTATGAAGACAGTTAAGTAGAACAAATACAGTTCATTTCACAATTATGACTGGGGCTTAAAAAGGCACAAAAATGTAAGAATTAACATATGAATTTGAAGGCACTGAGATCTATCAATGTGATTCCCTGATATTTTAAGATATCTACAGCATTCCTGCTCTATTTTTGTTCAATCTTTTCTTGTACCCTTCCTAGAAAAGATATTGCATGATTTTCTTAGGCATATGATTGCAAACTGCTGTTACAATTGGGAAGTTTCTCTGGACATGTAACTCAGTTCAGTTCCTAGAATTAAAATTATTACACTATTCCAACACATGTGGAGAAAAATATTCCTTTATGAACACCTACAAATATTATTAGGGAACTATTTTAAGAACTGCCTACATCTGAACACCTAGGCCTTAAATGGACTGTGAAGACCTGGCATTATACTGGCAAGTAGTAGTCACAGAGTCTTTTCAAGTGTTGACCATATTTCTGTGGAATTATATTCTATGATCTACTCTTTCACTGCCTGTAACAGGTCTTAAAGATGTTTTTTCATTCCAAACTGATTTTAATTGATGGTGCTACTCTGGAATGTTAAAACTGTTATTAGGTATTTTTTCTTTGCAAATACTGGTATTTCAAAAACGGTTATTTTCAAATGTTTTTTATATTTTAAGAGATCAAATGAGTATGCAAAGCCCAATCCAAACTCCCACTTATTTGGCAACTAACTATCTTTTGCATAGATTAGGTTCAACTTCCCCTTTCCCAACAACAGGTAAACATTTTTTTTATCAGTAGATGCTCTCAGTAGAGATCAACATCTTCCTTGATAATCTTTCCAATTTTTGTCCTCAAAAGATTAACTGAATTCAGAAATGAGATGCAGACAGAAGGTAAAACAGAAGAATTGCCTTTAAAGGGAAAAGGCCATGATGTATCCTCTATATTGCACACCCATTTAAATCTTGACAAAGTTTGGCTGGGTTCAAGTGAGACTTTCCTAGAATTTGTGTTATACATTGCACTTGCCTTGCCCATTGGCATCTTTTGGCCACTGTATGGACATTTGGCACATAACATGGAATCATCACACTGTGAACTTTCCCATTCCTACCTGTGGATGCTGTGAAGAAAGTGGGTAGGGAACTCCACAACAGGATACATATTTTTATACTGTAGATTAAACTCAACAACTCTTCAGTGCATGCATAGTATGAAATTACTTGAAGCCAGTTTACTTATTATAATCCAAGAGATTTCCAAATAACTCTGAATTGCCTACACACTCTTAACTTTCTTGAACAGCCTGCTATACTCTTGACTTCAGTAAGCCATGTGATTATTCCACATATATAATGATTTTGTGCTAAAAGAAAGTTTTCACAGAACTGTATTTGAACAAAGTGCAGAGGAGGAACTGCATATATGAACTAGGGCTGGATAGGACAAGACATAGTGGTGTTCCAGATGATGCTCCAGGGATGTCTACTAGACCTACGATCTAAATGAAAAGGAGTTAAACTGCACCATCCACATGCTTTTGCTTCTAGACTGTCATCAAGATCTGTGAAAAAAATCCTCTTATTCAACCTTGCCTGAGGTCAAATGGCTGCCAGCTGGCTTCTACATTTTCTTTGTTCTCCAGTTCCTGCTGAGAGTTGCATCCTTGTGTTTTCCTAGTGAGACAACCACTTCTCCTTTTGTGTTGAACCTACTGTTGTCCAGGTAACCAGTCCTGCCACAATTTAACCATTAAGTTTCTCTGCTACAACCGCCTGCCACTAACTCCCAAGACTGGTTAAGCTCAGCAAATGACTACCTGATACTATGTCAAGCAAGCAAAGCTAAATAGCATGGGACTGGTTTCTAAGTTAACATATTTAGAATGTTTTATTTACTAATAAAGAAGAATCTCTTCAAAAAAATACTATCATATTGAAATTATCTGTTTTGGCCTTACTTGTGGTTAAAACCAGATCAAGAATTCTCTGCTATTTGTACCAGTGGTCATGGTTCTGCTCATTGGCCAGGGCATTGCATAAAAACTTGAAAAGAAGATGGAAAAATAATCTGTAGCGTGAGGTTAAATTCTCAGCCAGTGGGAGATCAGGAATATAGCAAGATTTTCTAACCTTAGTAACTTCCATGGTTCAAGACAATTTTTAAAAAATATTTCATATATCGAAGTTTCTCGATGCCAAGTCTTGCACTACACACCATCTTGCTGTACCTCATCATCCTTTCCACATCATCATTAGAGTAAAAGGAGCCTAAAGCTGAGTCAAATAACTATCATGTTTACTTGGAAGCAACAGCAATAAGCCAATGATAAAGCAATGTAGCTCAAAGGTTAAGAGTACAATAATTAATTTCCTTTGTTCTAACTAAAAGAAACATTTACATTACAGCTTGTAGACCAACCAGATTGTTTAGAAAACCAGCTAACAAGGATTTGATTCCTTTCTTACCTGTTTTTATTCACACTTTCATGTTTCACAAGGAAAGCCCAACAAAGATTACTGGAGTTGAAAGAAATGTGAATTGCAGTGAACAATGCATTCCTCTCCATCTCTTCAGATTGTACCTTCAGATGTGACATCTTAAGATGTTCACATATTGCCTAGAGTAACTGTTTTCCCCAAATTTCAATTACCTCTGCAGTCTAGTTTTGATAAAATAATTTTTATTTAATAAACCATTGCTTATTAAACTAGGAGCAAGCATCAGTAGTGGCTACTGGATGAACAGGCTGGTGCTTGCCTAAAACTGAATGAATGAATGAATGAGTGAACTTTTGAAAGGAATGTTGGTGGTCCAAGTTCTCTCTGCTCCAATGGGGGTGTGGAGGACATTTTAGAGAAGATAGGGTGTCAGAAAGCAGAGATCACATCTGTGTACAGAAAGGACTTTCTGGAGCACATCCCCTTCTCATTCCTAATGATGTGACTAAATCAAACATATCATTTTTTTTTTTTTAGATTGAAGGCTGGAACAATTTTCATAATAGCAAAAATTAGTTCATTGAATTGCCTACATTTACTTGAATTTGGGAGATTTTCTTCAAAAAAGGTGAATGGTATAGAAAAAATAAAAAGTGATACCTTTTCCCACCCACCATAAAATACTAGAATTTAGGGTTATCCAATGAAGCTGAATGGCAAGAGAATCAGGACAGGGAAAAAAATACTTTTTTCATGGAGTACATAATTAACTTGTAGAATTTGTTATTACATGGTGCCATGACAATAATGAACTTCAAGAGCTTTTTGACATATTCATGGAAGATAAGGTATCAATGTGTGTGTGTGTGTGTCTATCATCTATCTATCATTGTAATGGAGGTTGTTGGGAATATGAGTAGGAAGGTGCTATTCTAATGTCCTTCTCATGGGCTTTCCTGAGGCATCTGGTTGATCACACTGGGCCTTCACCATGTTCCAGTAGCTCTTTCTTGTTATTGAGTTGTTAGTATACTACTGAGAACCATTTTTGCTGTTTTCACAATGCCTGAAAGAAAAAGATAGCAGTAAAGTTTGTGGACAGCAAATAAGAGGTTTAACTAAAGCCGTTGTGAACCCTTCCCGTTGTGAACAGAGAAATGAAAGGGTCATTGCTTTGTGCATCTTTAGTTAATAAATTATTTGCAAATTTGTATTACCACCAGCTACTCAACTGCTTCCAAAGTGAGTATTATTTTCTCTTTAGGGAATGGAATAGCAGTTGGAATAGCAGCAAATGGAAAGCATAACTGAAATTGTACATTCCATCAAAATCATAGCAACTCTTTAAAATTTGGGTAGAGTTGTAGGAGTAAGAAGGAAGGCTATAAAAGTGAGTCTGTAATTAGGAATTCTTGGAGGAAAAGATAACTATAAAAATTAAAAATTAAAAGCTGAATAAATGGAAAGCAGGAACTGTAAAAATTCAGCATTACACTAACTCATAAAAATAATAAGTTTGGCAACAATTATTTAATAATTGCTTGTAGGCTAGAATATGTTTAAAGGCAGTATAACACAAACAGGACAATTGTGGCTCTGAAACTTTTCTGTGTTTCCAAATTTCAAAGCTGATGAGGATTTCAGATTGCTCAGTGTAATTGTGCTAAGAATCCTCCTGAAAACACCATAAAACTGCAATCCTTTGTAATCTGCAGATAACTCCCAATGAGCTCCACAGTTTTCATTAATCACAATGATTGAAACAAACCATATTCTTTTTTTTTTAGCATATTGTATGAATGAGGCTATCACATTAATCCATAACAGATGGATGGATGGAGATATATGTATATGTGTGTGTGTGTGTGCACGTGTATGTATATATATATATTAAGAATTTTGGTTATAATAGTAAAATCTAATAA